CACGAACTATTTTGAAAATATATAAAACATGTTACACAAAAATATACAGTATACAGTAATATCAACATTTTATCCTGCTTTTGTGTTTTGTTTTTTCCTGCAAAATTATCTTACATATATTATTGTTTGAAAACTTTAGTACAAATTCAAATTTGAGATTATTGAGAAGAAAATTATAACTAGTAATTATCAGTTTTGAGTGTAACAACCCGATGTTAGTTGATTACATTGTAAATCGTACAAATTATTTTCGAAATCAAATTCAGTTTCAGTACTAACATTTTCCACCATTTTTTTTCTCAGCAAATGTTGTTAGATACATGTATAATGTTGATGAACTTTTGTACAGTTGAAGTTATCATTCACAGAGGAGTGTTTGATATTTTAGGGATACAATGAGTATATTTGTGGAAAACTTGGTGAAGCTAATTATATTCTAAACAAAACTTCAAATCGTATGACACTTTGTATCGTTCACAAATGTAACTTGAACTGTGAACTATTGTTGCATGATTTGGATACTCAGATGCTTGTTCTAATTTTTGTTAATTAAATGTAATATTATATTTATTTTATTTAATGGAAATGTAATGGGAGTGTGACTGTGGACAAAGTGAGCGAAAGAAACAGTTTCATGGAAACATGCATCTATGTGAATTTAGCATGCATGTGTAATGTGTATTGTTCCACAAATGCAGACGAAGGGACTATGTTTGAATTGTATTTAGGGTCTCTCCTTTCAATAATGATGATTGAAACAGTCACATGAAAGGAGTTACTTTTTGACAGTGAGAAACAGGGACAATATTTCTATGGTCTGGTAAAGTTTGACTTCAAAATAATTAAGTACCGGTAACGATCAGTGGCAAGCGGGTGAGTGGCATGCAGCACTTGTGGGTTTGCGCAGTTAGAAGTAATAAAAGTAAAAATTATCCAGTTATTTTTCAAAAGTGGTCGCAAAAAACCAGTGGAAAATAAAGTGACTAAAAAGCAAAGGAATGCAGAAGGATGGGCAGAGTGAGAACTGTAGAGAGATGACACAGTGAAAACACAATGATTAGAACTGCAAAAATTTAAGTAGACAAAAATTTAAGTGATTGTCAATGTTTTTGTCAAAAATAAAAGATGTAGAAAGATAGATACGACTAAGTATGTTGATAAAGGTAACAAATGGTTTGAATAAAAACGCATTTCTAGATAAAATTAGCAATTGAGATTTACCAGTATTTGGGCGGAGGCTGAGAAATTTGTATTTTACCAATTAAGTTGTAGAAATAACAAGAATTCTTGCCTGAAACTGACACTTTGTTGGATAGTGAGTTAAATAAATAAAGGAAATCATCATGTATGTATGTATGTTTGTTGAAGTAGTGCGAGTAGCACTAATCTAAAATAGTAGTAGATCTGTTATCGTTACCCTTTTCATATGCACACTACACACATGCGAAACGAGCATGGACAGGGTAAATTTATATCGTCCTTAGTATTTTTGGGGCACATATTTTATTTCTGACTTGAAAAGACCAATCGATATATATCTGATAAAAAATGAACATTTCTATGTTTGAATAGACTGGGACTGCTTTTTAGTTTTGTCTGATACAACTATCATACTTCCCCGAGCATAAGCCCCTCCTCGAGTATAAGCCCACCCCTCTATTTTTAAACAATTAGCGAGTTGAGGGCATCCCCAAGAGTGTTTTTACCAGGCGTTGATGACATTTAATTGTTAAAATATGCATTTATAAAGTGTATTTCATTGCATAATAATCATGATTGGCATAGTAGTCTGCTTCCTGCTTTTACATTCAGAGTGTATCACGGTGAACATACAGAACATGGTTCGCACCTTTTCTATTCTGTTATTTATACTCAGGATGAATCTTGATGTTGCAAAATTAGACAGATGGTTCTCCGAACCCGCCTATTCACATAGTTCATACCCACCATAATAACTATTTCAAACTGTAGGCATTAATCAGCGATTCTGCCAATGACGGAATAATAAAATCTAGGTCATGGGGAAGCCCCACAACCCCCATGGTTGGGGGGGGGGCAGAGTCTATGGTGGGTATGAACTATGTGAATAGGCGAGTCAGAGAACCCTCTGCCTAAATTCACTATATTCAATTACCCACCATAGAGTTCGCACAGTCAAAATGATTATTTTGAACTGTAGACGCCAACAGATGGCGTGTTTATCTGAGCAAACAGAAAATGATGAAAAGTCTTTCTTTCCCAGTCCGGGGTAATACA